ATCATCAGATCAAGTAAATGCAGAGTTCAGTGACTTAATTTGAGGCCATAAATCTCTCAACAGGCAATCAATACATATCACAAGCTAGTACATCTAGAGTATGACGAAGTAAAACACCTAAGGACAGGTGGAGCTGCTCGCTCCAGCCTATATGACCCTGAACAGACTCCTACAGATTTCCTTCTTAGAACTGTCCAATTATGAATGGATGCTATGGACTGGAAAGGAACAGAGAAAAGTGAAGACAGCTGCTTTATCAGGACAGCAGGAAAACACTTTTTTCTTAGTCTCCATTGGTCCTATGCTATTAGCTCACTGCAAATTCACCATTTCCATAATTACTGTTATGGAAATTAACAGCTAAATTACTGTTAGCTGTTAGTTTCCATTGGTCCTATGCTAAAGCTCACTGTAAATTCACCATTTCCATAATTACTTTCATCACATTCCCTTGAGAATTCACTCAACTGGTATGAACAGGGAAGTGTCTACAAGCGTGCCACTTAACTGTGCACTCTGACCAGCAACACTCATGTCCGAGGGAGCTTGCTAGAAATGCTGCATATTAGACCCTCCCTGCCTTTGACCTACTCAGTCAGCATCTCCATTCCCCTGGGATTCCTGTGTATATTAAGAGTTTGACCTTATCAATAAGACCTAGACCAGTGATTCTCAAGGGGTGGGGAGTACTTTTCTCCTCCAGGGAACATTTGACAGTAGCTGAAGACATTTTTCAGTCGGTGCTACCGGCATCCCATGGACAGAGGCCAGAGGACTAGTAAACACCCTGCAAAGCACAAGATACCCCCTCCTCCACAACAAAGAACTGCCCAGTCCAAAAATTGCAGAGGAAAAAGAGTTTTATCCAATTCCATATATACCATTGACTATAAAATAAAAAAAAAGAAATATTATTAACTATACCTATGATGCTCTATAAGCAGATTTCTAAAGAAACTTTTTTCCAAAACTATTTCAATATTTAACAACTCTTGATTGTTAATGGTTATTTAGTATTGAATTTAAATTACCATCTAAGAGAATTTAATTTTGATGCTTTTGGAATAAGAATAATGTTACTAGGCTTGGCGCCTGTAGCTCAAGTAGCTAAGGTGCCAGCCACATACACCAGAGCTGGCGGGTTCGAATCCAGTCCAGGCCTGCCAAATAACGATGACAACTACAGCCAAAAAATAGCCGGGTGTTGTGGTGGGCGCCTATAATCCCAGCTACTTGGGAGGCTGAAACAAGAGAATCACTTAAACCCAGGAGTTGGAGGTTGCTGTGAGCTGTGATGCCATGGCACTCTACCCAGGGCAATAGCTTGAGGCTCTGTCTCAAAATTAACAAATAAATAAATAAAGTTACTAGCCATGGTGGCTTACACCTGTAATCCTAGCACTCTGGGAGGCCAAGGCAGGTGGATTGCTTGAGCTCAGGAGTTTGAAACCAGCCTGAGCAAAAGTCAGACCCTCTTTCTACCAGAAACAGAAAAAAAAAAAAATGCTGGGTATTGGGGAGGGTGCCTGTAATCCCAGGTACTGGGGGAGGCTGAGGAAAGAGGATCTCTTAAACCCAACAGTTTGAGGTTACTGTGAGTTATGATGCCACAGCACTCTACCCAGAGCTACAGAGTGAGACTCTGTCTCAAAAAGAAAAAAAAAATACTATTACAGGGCCTGGCATGCTGGCTAATGCCTACAATCCTATCACTCTCGGAGGCCGAGGCGGGTGGATTGCCCACGCTCCAGAGTTCAAGACCAGCCTGAGCCACAGCAAGACCTCATCTCTACAAGGAAAAAAAAAAATAGCCAGTCATTGGGGCAGTGCCTGTAGTCCTAGCTACTTGGGAGGCTGAGGCAAGAGGATCACTTAAGCCCAAGAATATGAGGTTGCTGTGAGCTGTGACACCGTGGCACTATACCGAGGGTGATAAAGTGAGATACTGTCTCAAAATAAAAAAATGCTATTAGAAGAAAAATGCTCTGTACTGAAATTATTGGAATAAAAACTCATATCTTAACTATAAAAAATTACTTGCTAAATCTAATTTGTAGATTATAGTTGGAAAAAACCTACCCTGACAATTGCCTGAGTACCTCAGAGCTCCAGTCATAGACTACCTTAATACTCAGGCATAGCTTCGACACAGCAGAAAAATAAAACCCTATCTTTCAGTTGCTCACATTCTAGTTCACAGAGCATCTTTAATATTTGCCAGGAAATAAAATAATTTTTAATTTCAAATTAAACTGTGTAAATGTTACTGTAAGGACATGCATATAGACAAGAAATGTAGAGTTGAGAGCCACAGTTAGGTATGTTCTTGTTAACCTGTGAAAATGTTAATGGAATGGCTAAAGGAGAGAAGAAAAAATCTCTTGTAGTTCTCATTTTCTATGAATTATTTTATTTTCCTTTGAATGTAGAATCCAGCCACTACATATACTAAAAATAAAGTTTCAACCATTTAACGTGTCATAAAGCTAAGAAATAAAACTGACTAATGACCCTCTAATTTCCATAAATCACTGTCCTAATCACAGTTAGGTCAATTTAAAGTCTTACATTACCTTAATGTAATAGTTAATTATACTTTAATACTGACAAAATTGCCTTCTGAGCCACTTTCCACAGCTCCATGACCTTCCCTCAGCCAAATAGGTATGGCTGCTGGCTGGGTGGACATTCTCTTCACCTGGGGACTGACTCACAGAAAACCATAAAGAAAGGTTATTATTAAGAATCTAAAATGAGGGCGGCGCTCATAGCTCAGTGGGTAGGGTGCTGGCCACATACATGGATGCTGGCGGGTTCGAGCCCAGCCCGGGCCTACTAAACAACAATAACAACTGCAACCAAAAAAACAACGGCCAGGCGTTGTGGTGGGCATCTGTAGTCCCAGCTACTTGGGAGGCTGAGGCAAAAAAATCGCTTAAGCCCAAGAGTCTGAGGTTGCTGTGAGCTGTGACGCCATGAGATTCTACCAAGGGAGGGATACTCTGTCTCAAAAAAAAAAGGAAAAAGAATCTAAAATGAATATGAAAACATGTACACATAAAAGTAATTATAGTTGAAAGGACTTCAAAAACCATCTACTACCACCCTTACTATATAAAGAGAGCAAAATAATCAGTGGGGCCAAGTAACACACTCAAGGGAACACAGCCAGTCACTGGCAGGTCTCCTGACTCCCCCCAGTACCTTCAGCCACCCACATTCTAAGGCAGTTGCACACCACAGCATATTAACATTTAGGAGCAAGTGTGCAATTACATCATCCATTCACTATCACTTTGCTCTTCCAGATGATCATTTACCAGGAACACACAGAATCTCAGGATTTTAGAGGTGTAAAGGAGAGCCTTTAATGACCTCTCACCTTACAGGTAAGGAAACAGATATCCAGAGAGATATTGTTTTGCTCATCCATTCCACAAACATTCACTGGGCTTTTACAATAAGATAAGCCTTGGGGATACAAAGATAAACAAGGTAAGAATCACAGTTCTTAAGGACCTGGCATGGGACCAAGAGAAAAAAAAAACATAAATGTAATACAACCAGGTGGTCAGTGTAAGAGAAATACTCAGAGTAAGGGCAGAAGGCAGGAAATAACCAACTGTAGTTGTAACACTGTGCTTGAACAGAGATAGCTGCTTACACCATTTAATACTTGGTTACAATGTTTTAAATAAAAATAGATAAAACATATTTTTAAAGTTTCAGTTTCACCAAAAAAAGGGTAGGGAACCACCATATTCTAGCATGCCAGACACTGTGCCTGGCATTTTATCTATATGTTATTTAACCCTGAAAATGACTCTGAGAGGTAAGCAGCATTATCCCAAGTTTTCAAAGAAGGAAGCCAGCAGAGAGGTTTGTCCATGGCAGGATACACCTGAGCCCTTATTTGAGTCCACGTTTGTCTGGCTCCAAAATCACATTACTTTCTTTCTGCTAAACTGTAACTCTTTCTGCTCAGGATTTTCTATATTCGTCTAAATCACTCTACACCTTATATCTCTTCAGTCTTCATTAATGACTTTGAAGACTAGAATTATTTTTAGGCAATACATCCTGCAATAAATCATTCTAGTCTTCAAAATTATTACTTCCTAAGATCAGGAATCGTCGTTTAAAAACCTTAATAAAGGAAAAGCGAGAACAGCTTCTTATTATACACATACCCAAACGATTCCTTTACGTAAGAAACTCATAAAAACTAAAATATAGAGAACTTCTGCTAATGTATTTTGCTTTAAAAGATCCTTACATTCTGTATGTTTACGTGCACCATAGGTGCTCCATAAATGTTAGCATTTTTCTTCAAGGTGTAAAGAGAGGGCTGACTCGAAAAGGTTTTAAACAAAACACTTGATTTGAAGAAGTACTAAGCATTTTCTTTTGTTTCTACTCCTGTCCAAAACACCTTGAAAATCAGTTTAAAAAAAAAAAAAAAAGCTGTGCTCTAAAGAAGCTGGTGAAGAACTTAGGATGAAAACGAACAGCCCAGAAGCTAGGGAAGCCGGCTATCTAACATTCTACAACAAACATTTCATCTTCGGGCAAAAGGAAAAAATTTCAAATGCTGCGGGGTGGGGTGGGAATGGGGAGCACGGGGGGGGGGTGGTAAGAAGATCAAGTCTCTATCCCTAATATTAAACCCAGGGTCTCCATACTCCGCGAATAAGCCCAAAGTGGGAAGCCCAGCAGAAACCACGGAAGGACAACCGTGCGATAGCATCTTCTACGGAAAAAGTTGTATGGGAGTAAACACTAACCTAGCAGTCTGCAGTGATGCGGGTCGTGAAGCAAAAGTAAAAAGGGGCTTTCTCTCGGCGTTTAAATGAACAGATCTGGGCATTTAAAATGAAACTTCACTCCAAACCCCCAGTAGAAAAAATAACAATAACCTCCCCTGCAACGAGGTTTAGGGGCCGCCTGTAGTCCCACGCCCCGCTCGCAAGGCAGGTCCCCAGTCCGCACCCCCGGCTCACCTCCGCGCGCGCTGCCCGCCGCGCCCGCCAGACCGCAGCGCTCAGCGACCAGCTGAACCAGAAGCAGGAGGAGGAGGCGGAGCCGGCGGGACCACGACCCCCGCGCCGCCATCGCCTCGGCCCGCACGGGAACACGGACAGCCTCCACGCGACGACCACCAGGGAACGCTGGCTTCTGCGGGAAACGCGATAGAGTGTGGGTTGAAGCCAAGAGAGGGCAGGTGCACGCGAGGGTTTGCCGGGCTCCTCAGCTCCTGCAGGCACCGCCACTTCAGCTTCCCCGCTTTGTGCCTGCTCCGGAGCGTGAGGAGGCACCTAGCCCCGCCCCTCTTCGCATCTGGCCCCGCCCACCCCTCTTAGGCCCCCTCTTACCCCGTCTGGTCCGTTCACAGCCCCGCCTCCGTTCCGCCCAGTCCCTTTTCCCTGGCCCCGCCTCCAACCCAACCCCATCTGCTCCTAGCCCCGCCTTTTCCAGACTGGCCCCGCCCACCCCATGGGCCCCGCTTTCTAGGCGCTGACTGCTTCAGGCAGTTGCAACCCTGGCGTACCTTTTTCACCCACCTGGTGACCTCGGCCAAATCACTGCATACCTAGGATAACGAGGTTCTGTGTTGGGCACCAAAGAGGAAAACAGGTAGACTGCTCTCAGCAGACAGAAAAGCAGCAAACGTAAAGTGATCCCGAGTGGTGATCAAACCTAGGAAAGACGAAAGACACAAGCAGGAGGCTGAGACAACAGCAGCGGTGGGGGGTTTTCTCTAAGCTCCAGGCTGCGGCGCTCTTCACTCGTCCCGCTACCCACTAAGTTCTTCCTTACCAGGAAGGTACCAGACGCAGCCTCAGTTTGGAAGCCAACTGACCCCCCATAAGGAGACCTGTATTCTGGACCAGCGAGGCGACCCTGGGCAAATAACCCTTCTTCTATGGTTCCGTTTCCTCATCTTAAAACAAGGTGAATAAACTAGAGGACTCAGGAAGTACAGCTCTTACACTTATTCAAGCCACCCATGGAAATGATATGCAATTGCCTCAAACGTGGGCAATGCCCTCCGAGTTGCCATCAATTAACATTTGTAAATATTGGTGACTCCATCTGTCACAGACACTTAGCAACTTCAGTGGAGATTGATGCTGACTGCTAGAATCCTGTCACAACCCCCTCCAGGCCCTGTATTTCATCGCCTCTGTTCATAATTGATTAGAAAGCTTCATTTGGCTGAAGGGATTCAGGAGAATTATCTTTAAACTTCAGTGGCAGAACGTACCACTGACTCTTCACAAAAAGCTTCGTGGAGTTGACACCTCTAAGACTCACTGTGAGCAGAAAATTCACTCCAAGCTCCAGACTCAGTAAATCTGTGAAAAACTAAACCAGGTTGAGGTTGCAAAGGATCTGAACAGCAAGATTCAGTTAAGACCTTTTATCTTAGGACCAAGTATAACCAGGAAAGCGGAAACAACAGCCAATGAAGCCAGTCTGTTTAAGCAGGACTTAACGAAAGGGGCAGCAGAAAAGGACTCAGATTAGTCATTGCACGGAAATGAAAGACAGTACCTGTCACCCTGTTACTGCAAATGTATATCTTGCTCTGAAGAATTTATGGGGCTTATAGACACTTATGCAATTCATCCTAACAGTGTTTGGATGTCTTTACAGTGTTCTGCTTTTACAGTTAGGTGATTTGAAACAGGGGAGTTGAATAACTGCTGAAGGTCACAGAACCTGTTGATGGCAAAACTAGAATTAAATGGTTCTTAGCACAGCCATGGCAAGCATAATGGGAACTCAGACTTCCCCAGAGTGTTACATTAATAACCAAGAGGACAATGGTTATTTACATAATCTGCGGAAAAACAGCATTAGTTGTTATTAAGTGAAAGGCAAAGTGTGTCATTTGTTGGGCACTTTAAAATCCAAGCAAATAATCAGAGACTACAAAGTATCCATCTGGGGTAGGTTTTTCCTAGCAGGGTATGCCAATTGCTCACGGTTGCTAGATGTGTTGGCTACACCTGACTCTGATTATAGGGGCAGTCATACTGCTAGGGGACATTGGCTGATCAAGTAATGAGGAAAATTGCTGCTGTTGCTGAAGACACCACCTACAAAATCCCCTACGGTAGCATCTAACAACTATCTGAGATTTAACTAAAGGGACTATCATATAGTTTTTGCATCCCAGACACCACATTTTCCTCTGAAGACTGTGGAATTTTTGTTACACTTTACTGTTGTCACTCATCTGTCTCCTTCTCTGAATACCTAAAACCACCCTGTCAGCCAGGCAAGGTGGCTAATGCCTGTAATTCTAACACTAACACTCTGGGATGCCAAGGTGAGTGGATTGCTTGAGCTTGGGAGTTTGAGACCAGCCTGAGCAAGAGTGACACCTCCATTTCTACCAAAAATAGAAAAATTAGTCAGGCATTATGGCAGGTGCCTGTAGTCCCAGCTACTTGGGAGACTGAGTCAATAGGATTTCTTGAGCCCAAGAGTTTGAGGTTGTTGTGAGCTGCGATGATGCCACAGCATTCTAGCCTAGGGGAAAGAGTGAAACTCTGTCTCAATAAATAAATAAATAGGGCGGCACCTGTGGCTCAAAGGAGTAGGACTCTGGCCCCATATACTGGAGGTGGTAGGTTCAAACCCAGCCCTGGCCAAAAAATAAAAATAAATAAATGAGCCACCCTTTCTTCAAGGTCCATTTCAAATGCCACTTGCCTTCTCTTTGTATATTTCTCTTATGCCCTCTACTTGATAATGAGCTTCTCAGCCTAGGATCTAGGTGTTATTTATCTTTATAATACCCACTAGCCAGTCAGTCCCTTGCCATAAAAAGTAGAATCTGGGAGGAGGAAGGGTATTTGGGGGGATCTCACCTAATATGCATGATGCAATGGTACATTTCAAAACTATTAAGAAATGAATATAATTGTGATGGATGTGCTACTTAGTTCAATGTAAGCATTTCATATTGTATATCGAAGCTGTACCCTGCACCCCATAAATGCATCAATGTACAAAGTTATGATTTAATAAAAAATAATTTTTAAAAAAGTAGAGTCTAATAATAATTATCATATCAGAACTGTTAAGTAATGGGGGATATAGTAAGATAAGTACTTTTTAATATATCAACTCATTTAATCTCAAATAATATTATAAAGACAGTACTTTTTTTACCCTTGTTTTATTTTGGCCAACTCTTTCTCAGTTTTCTTGAAAGTTTCCTCCTTTTCCACTGGGCTCTGTACATTGAGAATTCTACAGGCTCAAGTCTGGGACCTTTTCTCCTGTCTCCATATTCTACCTCACTTGGTGATCTTACCTGTTTCCCTGGCTTTAAATACCATCCATATACTGACAACGGCCATATTCATACTCAGGGACTGATCTCACCTGTGAACTCCAGTGTACCTGAGTATGTACTGGACATCAGTGTTACTTGGACATTTTACCTAATATGTCCCAAACCATTTAATCCTCTTGGCCTTCCCATCTCAGTCAATGGTACTACCGCCCAACTAATTACTCAAGTTAGAAACCAGGCAAGTCATCCTTAGTTCCTCCCTCTGCTTCACTCATCGTCTCATTCAACTGTAAGTGCTATTTGCCTTAAATTTATCTTGAATCCATATCCTATGTCTCTTCTCTACTCCTACTCTATTCAAATGCACCTCTAACTTAGACTCCTGCCCCTGCCTTTCAGCTGGGTCTCCTTCCCTGCACCCTCAAACATGCTCTTTTAAGGTGATCATCTTAAAACAGAAACCAGGCCAAGTGTGGTGGCCTGTAATCCTAGCACTCTGGGAGGCCAAGGTGGAGGATTGCTTGAGGTCAGGAGTTTGAGACCATCTTGAGCAAGAGCAAGACACTATTTCTACTAAAAAGAGAAAAAAATTAGCAGGGTATAGTGGTGTATGCCTGTAGTCTCAGCTACCCAGGAGGCTGAGGTAGGGGATCACTTGAGCCTGGGAGTTTGAGGTTGCTGTGAGCTATGGTGACACCACTGTACTCTAGTGCAGGTGACAGAGTGAGACTCTGTATCAAAAACTAAATCCCAAGTCCAAGTTCTTGACATGATTCTCAGAGTGGCCCCTGTTGAACTCAAAAACACCACATCAAGCCCCTCTCCCTTGTACACTAAATTCCAGCCACACTGGCCTTTCCAGAGCACAGAACCACCAAGCCTGGGTCCTGCCCAAGGCCCTTTACATATGCTGCTCCCTCTGTGGAAAAATCTTCCTCTCCTCCCCTGCTCAGCCGAACTCCTCACCTCCTGTCATCACTTATGTGAAACCGACCTATGTAAGTTTGGCCTTCCACTCTCACTGCCTGTCATTCTCTATCACTGTCACCTGTTCCCTCCTTTCCCCACATTTGTTGGAATTTGTAATTGCATATATTTTAGTGTGTCAGTGTGCCTGATTCCCCTTACAGATAACTCCTCCCAGTTTATCGAGCACACGGTAGACACTCAGAATGCTTGTTGGATGAATAAATGAATATGAACTAGTCTGTCCAAGATTTCAGAACTAGTAAACTAGAAAATGGTGAGGAGGTATGCAAACCCAGGTCACCTGACTTGGAAGACTTAGCCATTCATGAAACTAAACTCAATCTCTGTCTTCAAGCCTTATTACTGGTCTTGAAAATGGTGCCATAAAACCTGCCTTGGAGGAGGTAGTTTGTAGAGCCCTCAGCCCAAGTGCTCAATAGATGGTAGCTAATACTATTTGTGTAGCAATTATTCTCTGCTTTCAAAATGCTTAAGCAAAGGGCAGTTGGTGCTTCAGAGCTAAAAGAGAATAAACAGAAAGGGAATTAGGAGATCAAATAAATAGAGGAATCAAAAATAAACATTGTCATCTGCAAGTGGCATGGCCTAATGAGTCATCTTTTATAGCAATGTTGTTCACTTTTTCTTTTTTATAATGGTGTCAGCGGAGCTAAATTCAGAGCAAGGCAGCTTTTCCGAATCTCCCATTCAGCACTTCCATTACGGCTTGGTGATAAATTCTGCTGTGAGCCTTTAAGATGAAAGCCAAACTGGAAAGTTAATTAAAGATAAAAATGGATGCTGTCAATTTTACTGCTGAAATGAAATGCAT